GGGGAGAGACCCACAACAATGATAGATATCCAGAATCAGTTGAACATCTGTAGAAGCATTCACCGGATATAAAATTCGCCATGACAGGATGGGACAATGTGTTCATGAGAAAATATGCAAATTTTATGTGGGTGGAAACTGGAAGGAATTGGTACAAACACCACCCAGAGCCGACTACAGCGGTAGGATCTGAAACAATTTTGAAGTTCTTTACAATACACAATGAACAATAAAAGTTAATCGCCCAAACATAGTGATCAGAGTACACAAAAAAAAAGAATGTGTTTCCTTATAAACATAACAATTCCTGTCGACTAATGTGCATATGAAGATCTTCAAAAATCTTTGAAAATAAAAAAAAGGATATTGAAGAGGAAATCTGAAAATGTAGCACATGAAGGCATCAATAATTACAGGTAGGATTATAAAAGATTCGAGAAACTCATTGCAGGGTTCCTGACAGGTCAGGATTTAAAGAAATACAAGAAATTGTTTACATAAGTACAGCTCATATCTTACGAACAAAAATTATCTATGGAATTTTTTTATGTTCTGATGTTTTATTATTAATTTTATATTTTAACAAAATTCTTCAGTGAAAAGTATCATGATATCATTCCTGATCTTAGGTTTCTGGTTGGGACCCGGAAAGAAATATGTATATCATAGAAATCAATGGAAATAATAATGATGAAATAGTACTGTCGAACCGTTCCTGTAGTAATAATCGCGCTTGGAACTTGTTGTTGATAAGCACACCACGCCCTATTCACCATAGGTCAAGATCAGTCGATCCTCTGCTAACTCGTCTGGGCAGCTGACCTTTTATTCGTGATTTGGACCACGCATCTAAATTGGTGATAGTTTTCAAAGCTCTAGAATCACGCATGCGCTTTAACTAAATTGCAAATGGTGGCTCCGACCCGACAGGCGGTACATCTGGACCTCTTATCCACGGGTAGGTTGGAATTTCTTGATCATATTTCGCCACAGAACGCCACCTAGAAAGTGGAAAAGATATCTTAGATAGAATTAGTGCTAAGATTAATATAGTAAACCGCCAGTAAACTGTCATTTTTACTCTGTAAGGATTCCCTGCAAGATTCTTGTGTTTTAACGTCTCTTGTTGATACCGTGTCCCGAGAAGAGAATTTCTATTGACTCCGTCAATATGTGATACCAAAATAATAAACATAAATATCATAAATAATAATAATAATAATAATAATAATAATAATTATTATTATTATTATTATTATTATTATTAAAACGATGTTGCGCTATTTTTGATGGGAAATTTTCATATTTTCTTGTTTCGAGTCCTTTTATTATAACGTTCATTAAATGAAAAACGTAAAACAATTTTTCGATTACTTTTCGTTCTGTGAAATTGCTTCCCATACCATACTATTTATATCTGTTGATTGCCAATTTCGCCTGGCTTGACAGATTTGGTTTTTGATATTAACTTGATAATTACAAGAAGATTGATGTCAGTAACATGACCTCAGGCAAAGTTTTCGATCTTTATTCTTTCTGTTTTACCGTTCGCTTTTGATATTGTGGTTTCCACATTAATAATTCTCTTTGTAAGTATCAGGCATATCCATTGGCTAAAAAGGTTTACAATAATAAAAAAAATAACACAAACTAATGTATAAAACATATCAATATATATCCTTTTCCAAATTAGGAAAAAAAACCCCCAAAAAACTTTAATTTCGTATTTTCGAATAACGTTGATGTTATGTCTTTATGAGGATATCTTCACTGTGCCATGTGTCCTTGAGGATACATGGCACATTGAATAAAGGCGTTGATTAGATCCAGTGACAAGACCCAAAGAGTGTGAGTTCAATACCCGGTTAAGGCGGTGGAGAACTTGAGAGGGAATTAACAGGAGATAACTGATAACCGACATCCATTAAACATGGAACGTGGAACTAGAACAGTCTAACCCAGTGAGCGAAATAAAGGGTGCAGTTCGACATTCCAACCAGCTGAAGAAGGCCGGAGCCATAAACGGCCGACCCGTTTGTAATAAATATGGCGACATAGATGAGGACAATAGTCCGAATAATGTAAATAAGTGTACATAATACCTCATCTCAGAAATATAGACAGATACTGGATATCTTCTAGTTGTAATATTTTGAAAACAATGAATATATTTGAAATTTTACTGTAGTATTTTGGTTAAAATCCCAAAGAGGTAAAAACAAAATGATGGATCTAAAATGTTTCATTAATTGTTTTTCGTTTACATAATGAACACTCACTAAAAATTCTGATGCTCATCGTACAAAGAAACATTTCCATCAGCTGAGTAAAGAGATTAGACGCCTTATAATAACATCTATAATAATCAAGATGAGAAATTACTCAGTTCAAAACTGAAATGAGCAACTACTCAGTTCAAAACTGAAATACTGAATAACTAAAATTCTAAGTCTGTTTCTTTTGGGCTTGTGATATTGTATTCCTTCTTATTTTCATATACACTCTTCTGACGATGACAGTAGTAAGCATCGAAATACTGACAAAAAAGACTATTGTAAATAACGAATAATCAACTAATGATTACTCATTGATATGTTATACCAAACACTGTCCAGTAAATTACTGTCTATTTGTTGACATATTTTGTGGGTGAAAAAAAAAATTATTGCATTAAAAGCAAGCATGTTATACACAATAAATAAACGAAAAGCAAGAAAAAAATTATTTCCATGAACATTCCCTTCAGCTGGGTAAAGAGATTAGACTCAAAACGGAAAAGCAAACTACTACATTGTATTATAGTGATTACCCATGTCTGAATAGACGACCTGATTTTTGTAAATATTACGTAAAGCAGCCTGCACTGTCGAGAGTGTTAATAAATAAAATGTATCCTCCGGGAGCGTTCGAACTATCGTCCCTCTTTGTAAAAGAAATAACTGCCTGTTATAAGCACGCTTTAGACATAGGATTTCTAACATGAGGCGCATGCCCCACTGGCGGAAAATAGTAAATATTTTGGTGGGGCATGCATAGGATGTGCGCCCTTCGGCTTACTATACCAACAGAATAAGTGGGGCAATTTCAGAATAAGTTATTAACAGTGAATTGTTTTCTATTGGGGCTGAGTGAGAGTGTTAATGTAAATGCGTGTTAATACATAGCATGTATATACAGTATACATATATAAAAATATTTTGTGCGTATGTGCAATTGGCATTCAGGGTATTTCCTGTCTCCTCACACACGCGTGTCTCGGTCAACAAAAGCGAGAGCGTGATGTATATCGTTGGAAGAGCCCATATTTTGTAGGCCAATCAGCGCGTAAGGAGAGTGCGTGATGCATAATGCTGGAAGAGCCCATGTTTTTCCGGTCAATCAGCGCGTAAGGTGAGGGCGTGATGCATATCGCTGGAAGATCCCATGTATTGTCGGCCAGTCTGCGCGTAAGGATAGGGAGTGATGGATATCGCTGGAAGAGTCCATGTTTTGTCGGCCAATCAGCGCGTGTGAACATTCAATTTGCTTCCCTAACGTGAACTGCAGTAAAATTTTGAATATGTAAAAATTAAATATTACAAGGCGGCACCAGAATTTTAGAATTACCGAAATGAGGCATACTTCAAAATCAGTTGGGAACCCCTGCTTTAGACTATGAAGCAATAGAAAACGTCAGATCTCAAGAAGATTCAATTACCCTGTTAAGGAATGCG